TTTTGCACGCCGGCCAATCCGCGTAGCCGTCGCCCCGAACCGCCGCCCGCTGGCGCAGCTTCTCTGCCTCGCCGCCGACGAGAAGCAAGTGTGTCGGCGCGAGGAAACTGGCGGCAAGGGGGGGAAGCACCAGGGCCATGACCCGTCGGGGATCGGGCCGAGCGGCGGAGGAATCGGAGGCATTGGACATAGCGCACCGCGGGGACTGGCGGCAGCGGGCGGCAGCACTACGGCCTCTGGGGCAGTCGGGGATCATGGCCGCCGGGGTCCTCGAGACCAGTGGACTTTCTGATGAATCAGGACTTCGGTACGGAGGAGGAGGATGAGGATGAGGAGAAGGACGAGGAGGAGGAGGAGGAGGAGGAGGAGGAGGAGGAGGAGGAGGAGGAGGAGGATGAGGAGGAGGAGGAGGAGGAGGAGGAGGAGGAGGAGGAGGACGAGGACGAGGAGGAGGTCGTTTCCCGGCTTGCCAAAGTCCTGGCTTGGAGGGCCCCGAGGCTGGGAACATGTGGGGAGGGGGCCGAACGGTGGACACTGGCGGCAGACTTGCTGATAGACCAGGACTTTGGCGGATGGCTTCCCTGGCTTGCCAAAGTCCTGGCTTGGAGGGCCCCGAGGCTGGGAACATGTGGGGAGGGGGCCGAACGGTGGACACTGGCGGCAGACTTGCTGATAGACCAGGACTTTGGCGGATGGCTTCCCTGGCTTGCCAAAGTCCTGGCTTGGAGGGCCCCGAGGCTGGGAACATGTGGGGACGGGGCCGAACGGTGGACACTGGCGGCAGACTTGCTGATAAAATCCAGGACCTTGGCGGGTGGCTTCCCTGGCTTGCCAAAGTCCTGCTTTGGAGGGCCCCGAGGCTGGGGACATGTGGGGACGGGGCCGAGCGGTGGAAGCCGTCGGCGGCGAGTGGCAGTGGCGAAGGAACCTGGCGGCGTCCGAGGCCTCCGCGGCGCGCCCCCGGGAGCAGAGCCGAGGGGGCGGGCCTCCTCGGAAGGCTCCGAAGGACCCTGGCAGGGCTAGACCTAAACGGTGCGGTTGGCGATTTCGTGGGCCGTTTTCGTTTCGGCTTCGTTCTGCGGTAATGGCGGATTCGAGACAAAAGCGAGGGAAAACGAAAACAAAACGATCGTTTTGCGGTAATGGCGGATTCGAGACAAAAGCGAGGGAAAACGAAAACAAAACGATCGTTTTGCGGTAATGGCGGATTCGAGACAAAAGCGAGGGAAAACGAAAACAAAACGAAAACGAAAAACACCGTTTAGGTTCAGCCCTGGACCCTGGCCCTCTGAGACCTTCTGAGCCTTCCACGAGTCAGCAGGGGGCTTCTTGAAGGCGGCAGGGCTTTGAGAAGGCCCGCCCCATCTTACTCCCCTCGTCGTCGCGTTGCCAAACCTCAGGCCTGTGCCGGGCCTGAGGAAGGTCGAGGACGGCGCCGAGCGAAAAGAGAACTGCAGCAGCGGAGGAAGCATCAGGGCTGGGGATGGTCAGGGTCATGGCGGGGTGGAGGATGCCGGCGGCAACGGATAGCAGCTCTTCGCAGTCAGGTAAGAACCGCGACCTTCAGTACAGGCGCTAGTTGGAGTTTACTTCAATTCATATCGTTGGCGTGCCGAGCTCATCGCCAGATCGTTGGGTCTGCTCACGCTCGTGTACCAGCTGGTTTCTTTGTTGCCGCTAGTCTCCTCGGAAGCACGAGCTGGCGGCGCGCCGAGGGGGGAAGTGAGAGGGGGCAGGCCTTTTCGGAATGCGGCGTTTTGTTGTTGTTGCATGTTTGTTATTTTTGTCTGTTTATTTTGCCATGTCCTATTCCAAGAGGCCGTCTGTGGCCTCGGAGATGGTCTCGAATGCTTCTCAGAAGGCTGAAGGCTTGGGCACGCTGCTGAAAACAGGCAATTGGTGAGGCAAAGAGGCGGCCAGACATGATCTTACACGGCAAGGTCATTGTCGGAAGTCGTAGATCTACATGCAGCAGGCGCACCAAGTAGAGAGGCAGCCCGTCAGCGGGCGCGCGATGGAAATGCCATTCCCGACGGCTCTGGGGACCCTTAGGGCCCCTCACGAAACCGCATCTTGATGGCAAATATGCCCCTGGACTCGTAGCAAGATCTCTTATCATACGCATCTCTTGCACAGCTGGCACGAGGATAAAGAACAGCCCTATCCTTGGATGGGGTACCCTTGTGTTCGTCGTAATTGGGCCCTCGGCGAAGGTGCTCATGTTCTTCCCAGGCACCCGACGCCGCGATTTTTTACGATCTGGCTCCCCAGGGCTTTAGCCCACTTCCCCAGGACAAGTTTTTCATCCCGAGTCGGATTTTGACAGCCCCTGGGCCAGTGAGGGCCCCAGGTAGCTGAAGATCGCCGCCAGTTGTCCGTCTTGACTTCGGCATGGCGCGAAAATGCGAGGGTTCTTGGCCCGCCATCCTTGAATGCGCTCAGCTGGCCTCTCTGTCGGTGGCAGTCTGGGACGTCCAACCATGCCCAAGGCGGTTGGTTTTCTTCTGCCTCTCCTCGTCCTTCGTTCCTCCCCCCTCCCTGCCCTTTCTCCCTCCTCGTCAGCCTCTTCGTTTCACCTGGAACAAATGGGCGATACAGGTGTGGCGGTAGGCTTGTTTACCGACTCCCGCTGTTTCGATTTCGCTGGTGGCACCATTCCTTCCCGTTATCGCCATCGTAGTCGTGGTGCAGGGCGGGATCGGGGTCACCCCAACTCACTTCTATTCTAGACGCTTCGCGTACCCTCACCAGTTCATCCAGAAACGATGCCCAGGCGAGTTGCCCTGATCAGGCATGTGAGGGAGCATTCAGTGGAATATAGGCTGAGAAGCCGTCAGACCCTTGGAGGGGGAAGATAGATGAGGAACCATTGAGGAGGAGGAGGAGGAGGAGGAGGAGGAGGAGGAGGAGGAGGAGGATGAGAAAGTGCAGGAGCACCAGTGTAAACCCAAGACCCATCAACGATATTGCAATCAACCCTGCCTCCAAGTCCTCTTCGTAGGCCTTTGCAAGTTTTCGTTTTTTACCAGAGGAAGTGCCCCGTTGGAAAACAACCATTTGAAAATCCCGAGCTGTGCCAGAACACCATTCCGGGGACTTCAGCGCCGCGAATCACCGTTATTGCTGCGTCTTCGACGACTTTGAATTGTGCCACAAAGCCATTCCTGAGACCTCAATTCCACGAAGCAGCGTAACTGTTGTGCCCTGACAGTCCGACATTCTGCCAAACAAGAATTCTGGGACGTTAACCATGATGAGCTTTGAATTTGCTGTGAACTCTGAAGATGAGTGTGCGCGGCGCTCAGGCGAGAGTCACATATTGAAAACCAACCGCCCTCAATCCGTAAAACTCCTGCATTTGTTTAGGACTGATGCGCGCGACGCTAAGACGAGAGCCACATTTTTAAAACCATCCGCCCTCCGTCTGTGAAGCTCTTACATTCTTTCCAGACGGATGACCGCGGCGCCAAGGCGATTGCCACTTTTCGAAAACGGCCCGCCCTCCATCCGTCAAGGTCTTGCCAGTTTTAAGCTTCAGGTTTGTAAGAGGTGAGACGGTCGCAGGCGAAACGCCAAGCCCGCCCTTTCGACCGGCCTTGGGGTGCGACAGGGAGGAGTTATTTAAAGAAAGGCGAACGGAGGAGAAGTGGGTGGGAGGAGGGAGGAGGGAGGAGGGAGAGGGGAGGAGGGAGGAGGAGGATTAGGCGGATGAGGAATAGGAGAAGGCGGAGGAGGAGAAGGAGGAGAAGGAGGATGAGGATGAGGAGGGGAGGGAGGAAGAAAAACAATAATTGGAAGAGGATGAGGAGGATGAGGAGGAGGAGTGGAGGAGGAGGAGGAGGAGGAAAGGAGGAGGAGGAGGAGGAGAAGGGAGGAGGAGGAGGAGGAAGAGGAGGAGGCAGAGGAGCAGGAGGAGGTGGAGGAGGAGGAGGAGGAGGAGGAGGAGGAGGAGGAGGTGGGCGAATAGGAAGGTCGTAGGCCTCTTGGATGCTTCTCAGAGCCTCTTTGGATGTCTCTCGAGAGCTTTTTGTATGTCTGTTGGGGCGTCTTGGGGGCCTCTTGGCAGCCCCAGGGGCCTCTTGAAGCGTCTTGGGTTCCTTGGGGGGGCCTCTAGGGGGGTATCTTGGGAGCCTCTTGGGGGCATCATGGGGGCATCTTGTGTTCTCTTGGGGCCTTCTGGGCGCCTCTCGGGGGCCGTTTTGAACGCTCTTCGGGGCCTCGGGGGCCATCTTGGGGCCATCTTGGAGGTGCTCGATCAAAGAAGGGGAGGGGTCCAATGTGGGTCCCCTCTCCAGGAGGCCCAAATTGGGCCAAAACCTTGACAACATCAGTGATTTTGGCCTTCCCTACGAGGCCGAGAAAGATTGTCTGACACCTCGCGAACGGCCCCGTCCAGAGCCAGGGGGAGCGGGTCTGGGGGAGGGGTAAACCCCTCCCAGAAGAAGACGAACCTCCCTAAACCACTCACGCCCAGAGGGCTGGTGGGACTTGATGTGCGTCGGCACGTCAGGGCGACCCGCGCGCTCAGAAATCTGGAAGTACATGCTCGGAGGTGGGCGCTTTCTGGCCAAGCCGCCTGGGTAACGGTATCCGATCACATGCTTGTGGTGCATGCTCGGTTCGGACGAGCGCCTCGAAGGAAGGCACACAGCACTAGTATGTCCCTCTGAGCCCCATGAGCGAAGCAAAAAGCCCGCCCGAGGCGGTTCGAGGCACGCGGTGTATCGCCCCGACCGCATTGTCACGCGTACTATGTTCGGCCGCTCGGCCTTCATTGTGCATCCTTGTCTCATGTCGAGTATCTGCGCGGGGACTCTCCTGTCGAGGGCTGATGCTTCCGCAGTGCTCGATGTGTCTGTAGTCGCCGTGATAGGTGCGCCACTGGAGATAAGTGGGCGTAGTGCTTCCTAGTCCAATCAGTGAACGTCGTGTGTCGTGCGTACTGGGATCAGTCAGCGTCGTGCGTACTGGGGATACGTGGGCGTCACTGGGGGTGAGAGGGCCCGCCCGAGGCGGTGAAAGGCATGCACCGGGCCATCGCCGTGCTGACCCGGAAGGCCCGGGCGCCGGGGCGTGTCGGGCGTCTCGCCTCGCCGGCGGCGGGCTCTGCAGACTGTGCGCGTGCGCGCTGTGGGCGCAGGAGAATGAGGAGGAGAAGGCGGAGGAGGAGGAGGCGGAGGAGGAGGAGGAGGAGGCGGAGGAGGAGGCGGAGGAGGCGGACGAGGAGGAGGCGGAGGAGGACGAGGAGGAGGAGGAGGCAGAGGAGGCGGCGGAGGAGGAGGAGGAGGAGGCCCAGTGTAAATTCAAGAGTCATCAACGAAGTTGAAATACACCCTCCCTCCAAACTCCCTCTCCATTGGCCCCCACAACGGTTCATTTCCACTGAGGGAACTGCCTCGTTGGAAGACAGCCGTTTGAAGACCCTGAAGCATGTCAAAATATAGTTCTCGGGATTCCAACGCCATAGATCAACCTGACTGTTGCGTCTTGACGATCCTGAATCGTCCCAGAACGCCAGTCCTGGGACTTCAACGACCCGCGAATCAACGTAACTGTCGCACCCTAATTTCCCGATTCCTTCCAAAACGCAATATCTGGTACGTTGGTCATGGGAATCCGTAAAGCGCTTGTGCATTTTACAAGCGAATGTGCGAGACGCTAAGGCGAGAGCCACATGCTGAAAAGGAGCCGCCCTCAAACCCTGAAACTCTTGCACTTTTTGAAACGAGTGCACGCGGCGCTAAGGCGAGAGCCACATGTTGAAACAGAACCGCCCTCAATCCGTGAAACTCGTGCACTTTTTGAAACGAATGTACGCGGTGCTAAGACGAGAGCCACATTTTGGAAACCACCCGCCCTAAATCCGTGTATCTCTTGCGTATGTTTAAAACGAATGCGCGCAGCGCTCAGGCGAGAGGCACATTCTGAAAACGACCCGCCCTCAATCTGTGAAACTCTTGCATGTTAGCAATACTGCGCGGCGCTAAGGCGATAGCCACATTTGGAAAACCACCCGCTTTCCATTTGTGAAACTGTTGTTCATTTATATGCTTCAGGGTCGTAACTGATGAGGACGTCTCAGGCGAAACGCCAGGCCCGCCCAAAACATTGGCCTCGGGGTGTGCCAGGGAGGAGTTATTTATAGGGAATAGAGGAATGGCGGAGCAGGATGATGATGATGATGATGATGATGATGATGATGATGATGATGATGATGATGATGATGATGATGATGATGATGATGATGATGATGATGATTATGATGATATGATGATGATGATGCTGATGATGCTGATGATGCTGATGTGATGATGATGATGATGATGATGATGATGATGATGATGATGATGAATGATGATGTGAGGAGGAGGAGGAGGAGGAGAGGAGGAGATGAGGAGGAGGAGAGGACGCGGAGGAGGAGAGGAGGAGGAGGAGGGAGGAGGAGGAGGAGGAGGAGAGAGGAGGGGGAGGAGGATGACAAGGAGAGGAGGGGGAGGCGAGGAGGAGGGAGAGGAGGAGGAGGAGGAGGAGGAGGTGGAGAAGGAGGAGGCGGTGTTGGAGAAGGAGGAGAAGGAGGCTGATCTGGAGGAGAAGGAGGCGGAGGAGAAGCAGGAGGAGGAGCAGGAGGAGGTGGAGGCTGAGGAGGAGGAGCAGCGGGAGGAGGAGGATGAGGAAACGAGGAGGATGAGGAGGAGGAGAAGGAGGAGGAGGAGGAGCAGGAGGAGGAGGAGGAGGAGGAGGGGGAGGGGGAGGAGGACAAGCTAGGTGCGCTCGCGTCATATCTGACGTCCTACCCCTCCCTCCCATCCCTTACCATGGCGCTGATTTTCTCTATCCGCGGACGCGTGTCGTAGCGGACCTGTGGCTCCGCGCGCGCGTGCGTAGTGGGTGGTGGTGCACGTGCGTGCGTGCGTGCGTGTGTGCGTGGTTGTCGTGGTGGTGGTGGTGGTGGTGGTGGTGGTAGTGGTGGTGGTGGTGGTGATGGTGGTGGTGGTGCTGGTGGTGGTGGTGGTGTGTTACTGGTGCTGGTGCTGGGTGGTTGTGGTGGTGGTGGTGGTGGTGGTGGTGGCGGTGCGGCGCGGTGGTGGCGGGCGGATGGGCGCGCGAGAAAAATGCCCGCGCTGGGGCGAGAACGCCATCCTGAACGACGGAGGCCAAACACCGATCCGAAAATGAGGCCCACGCTGCAGCGGGAGCACGATTCGGAACGATTCGGGAGCAGAAATGAGGCCGGCGCCTCAACGAGAGCAGCATTTTGGGAAAAAATGACGCCGGCGCCTCAGCGAGAGTCGTTTTCCGGGATTTCCCGGGCATCCTGTGTGTAAAAAACAGTACGCGGAGGGTGCGCGGCCATCACCCGGACGCCATCAGGGGAAGAGGGAGAGTATATTCATATTGAGTCATTGTTGAGGAGAAGGAGGAGGAGGGGCAGGAGGAGGAGGAGGAGGAGGAGAAGGAGAAGGAGGATGAGGATGAGGATAATAGGGGGAGGAGGAGGAGGAAGAGAAGCATGATGGTGATGATGGTTATGCTCATGACGAAGATGATGATGATGATGCTGAGTATGATGATGATGATGGTGGTGGTGATGATGCTGCTGATGCTGATGATGATGCTGATGATGCTGATTTGATGATGCTAAGTATGCTCATGCTGTTGATGATGCTGATGCTGATGATGATGCCGTTGATGATGATGCTGGTGCTGCTGATGAAACGATGATGCTGATGCCGCTGTGCATGCTGACGATGATGATGATGCTGATTATTCTGATGATGATGATGATTATGCTGATGATGCTGATGATGATGCTGATGATGCTGACGAGGATGAGGATGCTTATGAGGATGAGGATGACGATTCTGCTGCTGCTGCTGCTGATGATGATGATGATGATGTCGGGGCTGATTATGATGATGATGAGGAGGAGGAGGAAGAGTTTGAGTTGGAGTTTGGAGGGGAAGGAGGAGGACGAGGATGATAAGAACGATAATGATGATGATTCTGCTGCTGATGATGATAATGATGATGATGATGATGATGATGATGATGATGATGATGATGATGATGATGCAGATGTTGATGCTGATGATGATGCTGATGATGATGATGCTGATGATGATGACGATGATGCTGATGATGATGATGCTGATGATGATGCTGTTGCTGATGATGATGCTGATGATGATGATGATGATGATGCCGCTGCTGCTGCTGATGATGATGATGAGGAGGAGGAGGATGAGGAGGAGGATGAGGAGGAGGATGAGGAGGATGGAGGAGCATAAGGAGGAGGCGGCATACGAGGAGGAGTTGGAGGAGGAGGAGGATGAGGAGGAGGGATGAGGCTGAGGCTGATGATGATGATGATGCTGATGATGATGATGCTGATGACGATGCTGATGATGATGATGATGCTGATGATGATGATGCTAATGATGATGCTAATGATGATGCTGATGCTGATGATGATGATCAGGCTGATGATGATGCTGATGATGATGATGCTAATGATGATGATGATGATGATGATGATGCTGATGATGATGATGATGATGATGATGATGATGATGATGATGATGCTGATGATGATGATGATGATGATGATGATGATGATGATGATGATGATGATGATGATGATGATGATGATGATGATGATGATGATGATGATGATGATGATGATGATGATGATGATGAGGTTGTTGAAGATGAGGAGGAGGAGGAGGAGGAGGTGGAGGATGATGAGGAGGAGGAGCAGGAGGACGTGGAGGAGGATGAGGATGAGGCGGGAGGAGGAGGAGGAGGAGGAGGAGGAGGAGGAGGACGACGAGGAGGAGGGTGATGATAAGGATGAGGCGGAGGAGGAGGAGAAGGAGGAGGAGGAGGAGGAGGAGGCGGAGGAGGAAGATGAGGCGCAGGAGGAAGCTGACGGTGATGACGACGATGCTGATGACGATGATGGTAATGATGATGATGATGATGATGATGATGATGATGATGATGATGATGATGACGACGACGATGATGATGATGATGCTGATGATGATGATGGTGATGATGATGCTGCTGCTGATGATGATGATGATGATGATGCTGATGATGATGATGATGATGATGGTGGTGGTGGTGGCGATGATGATGATGCTGATGCTGATGCTGATGATGATGATGATGATGATGATGATGATGATGATGCTGATGATGATGATGATGATGATGATGATGCTTGTGATGATGCTGATGCTGATGCTGATGATGATGGTGATGATGCTGATGATGCTGATGTTGATGATGATGATGAGGGAGGGAGGGAGGGAGGGAGGGAAGGAGGAGGAGGATGGGGTTGAGGAGGAGCAGGAGGCGGAGGAGGACGACGAGGATGATGATGCTGCAGACGATGCTGCTGCTGATGATGATGCTGATGATGATGATGATGATGATGATGATGATGATGATGATGATGATGATGCTGCTGATGCTGATGATGATGATGTTGTTGTTGTTGATGCTGATGGTGCTTATGATGATGATGATGATGATGAGGAGGAGGAGGAGGAGGAGGAGGAGGAGGATGCTGATGATGATGATGATGATGATGATGCTGATGCTGATGCTGATGCTGATGCTGATGCTGATGATGCTGCTGGGGATGATGAGAAGGAGGGTGATTACTAGGTGGAGGGTGAACAGGACGAGGAGGAGGAGGAGGATGAGGAGGAGGAGAAGGAAGATGAGGCGGAGGAGGACGACGAGGAGGAGGAGGAACACGAGGAGGAGGAGGAGGAACACGAGGAGAACGATGATGAGGAGGAGGAGGGAGGAGGAGGAGGAGGATGAGGAGGAGGAGGAGGAGGAGGAGAAGGGGGAGGAGGAGGACGATGAGGTTGAGGAGGGTGATGAGGAGGAGGAGGTGGCTGAGGAGGAGAAGGAGGGGGAGGAGGATGAGGAGGAGAAGGAGGAGGATCAGGAGGAAGAGGAGGAAGAGTAGGAGGAGGAGGAGGAGTACGTAGACGGAAGAGGAGGAGGATGAGGAGGTGGATGATGATGATGATGACGA